TTACCAATTTTCTTTTCTGTGTGTAAAAACTAAAGTGATAAAAAAACTTAATGGCTTTTATTCATGTATAGAATGTAAATTCCGCATATGTGTAGCTAGCATGGGATAATTAAAAAGAAATAAATCATTTTTGCATTGCAGTGATAAGTTAAATGACGAAACAATTTCGCGTTTATAAATATTGGCGCACTTAGACAAATACCGAAAATCGCATTGCAGCGAACAGTGAACATGAAATGTGGAAACGTGCCGCGTAAATATACCTTCAAAAATGTTACATTAAGAACATCGCGACGTAGACAATCATTTTATCATTAAACATAAATCTGATTTATACGATATAAAAAAAAACCCAGACAGATTTTTTCAATTGATTTTCTCTCTCTCTCTCTCTCTCTCTCTCTCTCTTTCTCTCTCTCTGTATATGTGTCATCATTGCCTTAATTGAAACACGAAGCTCATCAAATAAATTGGAAATTATAATTAGAATTCGTTAAATTTTGCGACAGAAAATACGTCAACCCTTACCCATTCCACTTGGAAATGTTTGTTGCACATTCACGTTGCTGCTGCTGCTGCTGCTGCTGACATAATAATGACGTTCGCAATATGTGTAATATCTCAATTGAAATGTCAAATGCGCCAAAGACTTGTGTCGTTTTTAGTGTGTTCATTGACAACCATTTGTTGCATCTTCATTTGCGAATTGGCATTAAGTGCGCTAACACTTGCGAATCACATGCACACACATACAAATGCTTGACTTCAACGAAAAGAGGATCATAAAAAATTTCAAAACACTCTACATTTTAATAATAATAATAATATTAGAGTATAAAAGACATTAATACATCCACAAAAGTTGCGGTGATGTGAGAGGCAGAGAGACGGCAAGCATTTTGTTCAATGCGTTCACTAAAATGCATCAGCTGTTTGTTATATTATTATCAGTTTGTGGCGTGTGGCGTTCTTTCGTTTCTCTTCACTCTTCCTCCTCTCTCTCTCTCTCTCTCTCTCTCTCGTTCTCTTTTGCTCCGTTTCTCCATCTACCGCATTTCGCCGCATTACATAAACACATGAGAGCTAAAGTTTATTCAAGTTGGTTTGCGCCACACCGCACAAAGTGAATTACAAATCAAATTAAATCGGGTTGGATTCATTCATTGGTTAAGTTAAGAAATCTTTCAAGTTACTTTTGCTACCCATTTTGGCTGATGCTGCTGCTGCTGCTTCTGCATACAGGATGGAATGGTGTACCATATTGAATTAATCTAGTAATATAAACGCCGCACACATTTTTCAAATGCATTTGCTTGCGCGTTTGCTGCCACCAAAGTGAATTGCGCAACTGTATGCATCGGTACAAATCAAATTAAATCAATACAATTTCCTATGCAGTGAAATGTGACACACCAAATGGAAGAGAATAATCTGGGGGGGAATGAACAACACCATTGAAACATATTTAGAAGATGCGTTCGTGTGTGTGCGCACTAAATTGAGTACAGACAAAAAAAAAACAAATTTGATTTATTAGTCGTTAAATGAAATAAAAACAACAACATTTCACACCGTGTAGCCTAATTTCATCGTTAGCGCGACGCGATAAACGTCGTGCGAGATTTTTAATTCAGACATTGTGTCATGGCAGCTACCAAATCAATCAAATGTTTTGTGATTGGCAGTTTATGGATTTTTGATGTTTCATCATTGTTTATGCTCTTTTTATAAGACGGCAAGTTAATTAAATCGATGTATGAGCATGTGTTTGTGTCGAGTATTCGAAACGAATGTGCTTTGCTAGCACCGTTGCTTAGCATTAATGAAATGAACTCATAGCACACAACAAGATCGACAGGCCAATTTGAAATTCAGAACATCTTCGGGATCAAGAACGGTGTTGTGTCATTATCGACGTGAGAGCGGCAAGAATGGAATGGGAATGTGTGTGTGGGTCAGTAATTGCCTACATTTCAGGAGGTATTTGTGTGACAGCGTGTGATAACGACGCTCAAAGCCATTGCAAAATTCTCAACATTGCACAGAGAAGTTGATTGCGACTTTCATTCTCATTTGGAAGGCGTTTTAATGTTCTTTCGTTGCTTCTGCCACTATGTTGGTGCCATATATGACACACACACACACTGTGATTGCCATCACCTTCACTGTTCGAGTTTCCGATTTTGAATGGCAAAAGCCTGGCTATAATAGACAATAAAACATGATTAAAATGCCAGACACTTAAATCGGTATTCACAATGCCTGCGTTTAGTTTGTTCCACATTGTCGGAATGAATCAGTCTAATTTCCGTATCATTTGCTAGTCTTATGCATCACAACATCATTTAATGAATTGGAAAATAGGCGAAGAAAAACCAGCCGCTGTTGCCGTCGTCATCATTATGGCACGATGCACTTGAATTCGAATCTGAGTTGACATTAAGGTCGGCATTTTGAAGAAAGGACGCGACAAAAACCACACAAAATGCCAATTAATTATTTTTTTCTTCTGTTTCAACGCAATAATAAATAAGAATAATATTGAAGAGGTCATTTTTTTTCTTCTCTCGAGGAAAAATATCAATTTTACTATAGGTCAACTAAACATAGTGCGCCAACGATGATAATGATATTAGCAGCGAATCTGATTCGTGAACGAGGATCACTTACTAACCTGAAATCAAAAAAAAAAAAAAAAATAAATAAATGTTGTCTGCCTCAGATTGAGATTGGTTGGTATGTTTGGGCTTTCGCTAGCCCAAACTACCGCTGACCCGTGATGTTATTACACCAATTAAATGAGCAAAACTACTGTCTGCCGCTCATTTTAACGATGAAATCACAACTTTTATATGTTAATCAGACCCGTATATAATAGCAATGATGCTAACAGGTTGCCAAACCGGCGAAAACACACACACACACACACACACACACACTGCAACTCACAAGAAGCAATTCATATCTTGGCTTTTTTGTACGGTCTCGGTAATTTGTTGATGAGAAAAAGGCGTCGAACGGTCCATTTATCAGGAATAATCAAGTGCGCATTTGGCAACGAATTCGGTCTATGTTGTACATGTCAACGATTTTATGTCCAACACAAATTGATATTGGATGTTACATCGTTATTTATAGATGTACATCATCATTTTTCATTGAAATAATTTTCAAATTATGCTTTAAAAAAAAACCACTTGCGCTCAACTTGAACATTTTCTTCTGCCGAAACAAGAGAGAAAAAAACAGTTACCGAAAATCAAACCAGTTTAAAGAAGTATCAAAAATCGAGCACGTTGCAATTTCGTATCATCGCATTGATCAAAATGCATGCAAAGAACAGATATGAACAAAGTACAGATAACCATCAATTACATAAATTAACTCATGGGGTGAACGAGAAAAGAGAGAGAGAGAGAGAGAGAGAGAGAGAGAGAGAGAGAGAGAGAGAGAGAGAGTGAGACCAAGACACAGAGAGAAAAAGTGAAGAGACTGCCGCGGACCTTTGAACAACATGATTCATACATATCGCGTATCACGTATTACAAAAACAAATGTCCGATAAATTAAATTATGTTTAATGTCTTTTACTTGCGCGTTTGCCTGTTTCACGGCTATAATCATCTTCTTGTCGCTGGGAATGTAGTGTTGGTGGCAGCTGTATCAATAGCAGCATTCACGTATTAATAATAATAGTATGCGCAAAGCCACAACAAGGATGAAACAAAACGAGGAAAAGCTGATGGCCAATATATGTTAAAACACTAAATACAACAAATATGCCGCGCATTTGATCGCAATCTATGTTAGCAAATGTATGTTTATCTTATTACATTGTGTTTCTATGTCTTCTGGCTACTTAATAACGCTTGCTGTTGTCACCCATTCTCATTGATCGCTTTGGATACTGCAACCATACAAAATTTTAGTCGCTGTTCAATCAATATTACGGCAAAACACTGAAAACCAAAAAAAAAAAATAAATAACCAACACGCTGCGACCGTCGGCAACCAGTGGCTATAAAGCCCAAGGAAAGAAATGTTTTATTTTTAATTCATTTCGTTTCGATTTCCATGTTACCGTTCTCTCTCTCCTTCATTTAACAAGAAATCATCTTCACCACATAATGATTTCCTCGATGCTCATATTCGCTTATTTCTTCGTCATCAGTCCCTGATTTTCGGTTTTTTTCTCAAAATTTATCACTTAATGCAATTTGTTGCAATTTAATTTTCAATAAATTTGCCTGCTTTACCACACTGGGTCCTATGTGTATGTGTGTGTATGGAACATATTATTGATTATTGATTTAAAAAAAAGCGTTGAGAAATGCGAAACTAATTTCTTGAAATGTTTCGAGGCCATGAAGTGATTTAAAAGGGAAAAAAATGCAACATATAACAATTATATTGTCGTGGTCGTGGGCAATTTACATTGATCAGAGCTATCACGTACACTTTTTTTAAAGAATAATTATAACGATTTATAATTCAATTTCGGTCCCCATAAATGAAGTTAAAATGCAGTAAACTTAAAATTAAAACCGAACAGATTAAAATTTAAGATTATGTTTTTATTTCTTGAATATAATAATTAAATTTAAACGTTGACTTAATGTATCTGCTTGTTTTTAATTAAGCCAAACAATTAAAATGTAGAACTGCAGATATTGCCGAATTTGGTTACACTGAAGATATCATCTGAAATACAGTAGGCATATTAAGCTAATTTTGAAATACATATTCATTCAATTGTTTATTTTACGCGACCATATTTACCAGAATTTCATTGCATTCGTCTCATGACTTGATTGGCGCCAACTTATCAAGTCAAGTGTTTGAGAAATTGAAAAAAAAAAATGAAGTTGAAAAGAATTTAACAAAGAACTAAAAGCAGAAAAAAATGATTGGGAAACGTATTAAAATTACCGTTATGAAAAAGTCATGATCTTATTTTGAAACCTCAATAATCGAAAATAAAAACACACATGTTTAATAAATGCATATTTGCATTCGTTGTCTTGATTTATTTCGAACTTTAAATGGAAAAGGTGTAAAAATTAGCAATAAGAAATATAACGAAAGGCTTTTTGTACCGATTTCGATTTGAAAAATGTTTCAAAAGTTTGTGGCAGAGGATAGAGAGAAGGATGTGATGTGAGTTTATTGAAATTAGAATGCGGAAAAATATTTGGAAATAGATGATGTGAACTAAGTATAGCAGTGTAGGAAAGAGAAATCAATGTAAGGAATTCAATGGGTGCAAAACAATATATGATTGTGTCGATTGTGAAGATAGATGATTTGAAGGATTAGGTATAATATGAAATGTCTTTTGTTTGCTTCAAAAATTGTTTAAGATTTGTGTACCGTTCAATGATTTCGATTTCATTTACAGTACTGTGAAATCACTAGGATAAGCTTTTTTTTGGGTGGAGCAGGGAGGTTGAATATGGATAAAATTCCTTATTGAATCATTTAAATATATGCAAAAAGTATTTTCTAAAAAAAGGTAAAGCTAATGCATGTTTAAAATGGATGGTCTGCCGAAATTTCATCCGAATTTGTTGAAGGTGTCTTGTTGCTGTTGCTGTTGCTGTTGCTGTTGTTGTTGTTGTTGTTGCTGCTGGTTGAATTGATTTTGATTAAATCCAATCGGTTGATGCTGCACGCTTCGAATGTACTGCAGGGCTTTCGCAATCGCTGAGCGGTAATTGAAAGTATTAATATTGGAAATTAGTATTAATATTGGGAGTACGCACAAAATATGTGTGATGATTTTCAATTGAATTAAATCTGTTTATTTAGTAACCTTGTGGAATTGGCGGCGGAGTTGGTAGATGGGCGCCCTCAGCGCGGAAACCTAAAAAAACCATTGCGAAGAATGCATATAAATTACTGGTTTATTTCAACAGCAACAACAATAAATGTGCCAATAAGGTATGCAACAGGAGAGTTAATTAAACGCTTATCCGCCGATCATGATCATTAATCGTGGATGATGCATATACACGATCGTACCGTTCTCATCGGCGACATACGTAACCGTGATGGGCTGGCCCTCTGGGGATGTATAGCTGTAACTGAAAATGGCAGAGCAAACAAAAGGAACGAACGAACGAACGAACGAACGAACGAACGAACGAACGAATGAATAAAACTAACAACGAAAAAGAAAATCGATAGAGATCCCATATTAATGGACTGCTTCTTACCTGCCCTGCACAACTTGCGTTTCGATCTCTTTTTGGCCCAAGTTTTTAATGTAACCACGCGCCTGCTGCTGCTGACCATCACCCGATATGTAACTGTAAGTGTAGCTACCATCGTAATTCACATCGTTTTGATACGATGTGATAGGAACAAAGTTTCGTATTGGTTGCTGAAATAACTACGGAAGGTAGGCAACGCATAAATTTCTGGTGTAATTCAATTCTTCGCATTTCTCATTAAGTTCATTTTTTAAACAGTAAATACTTTTTGTTTAAGCTTCGAAGAAGGAACTTTCAATGCTTTTTTGTGCTTGATTTTTTAAAGGAGTAACCGCCGTTTGGCTCCTATACCTCCTAATACCGCTCCTTAAATCCACCACAAGTGCGGTAATTTCTTATATTTTACTTTACAGCGTCATACCTGTTGTTGTTGTTGTTGCTGTTGTTGTTGCTGTTGTTGTTGTTGTTGTTGCGTCTGAATTTGTTGATTGTAATTTTGCTGGGGTAATAGTTGCTGGTTCTGAGGTCGGTTAAATGCATTTTGATTAAAATTATAGGCATTATTCTGTTGGGGCAGTGTGTTTACACAAATAAAAATAAACAAGCACATCCACGTCGATATAAATAACTGAAAATGATCAAGTCGAAAAATGTGTCATGATTTGTTTTCCTTGTTGCATTTAATTTAGATCTCACGATAATATTTGGTTTTTGAAAGACAAATGCACAATAACTTTTTCTTATTTACCATAATCATTTTTATAACTCTCTAGGAAACTTCTCAAATTAATAAATAATCAAAGACGACAAATAAATTTAAATTAAATTTCAGAAGCACTTGATAACAATCGATCACTTCAATCACATCTAATTAAGAAATCAATTACTCTGCCACCATTCATTAAGTTGTGCAAACAAACGACTCAGAAAGTGACGAAAATTTCACACGCTCATCAGACCACTTTCGACTAGAATTTCTCTTTGTTAAAACTGAATCGACGACAAATAATTAAACGACTCTTGAAATTGAGATACTGCGTCTTAGATCAGATTCCAAAGCACAACTATTAGTGTTGGTATGATGATGGGTTTTATTTATATTGAAATACATGCGGCTAAATCCCGCCAAAATAGTCTTATAACAAAGGTGCGCACTTTGATTTTGGTTCAATAATCACAATAGATGGATTGAAGCAAGCCAAGCCGACGAAAGAAAAAAAAAAAACTCACTTCTCTCTCGCACCTACAAACCATATCCATCGAGAAGAGTAACAAAAATATTGAAGTAAAAAAAACATATCAAAATAACAAATAAGAAGAATGAAGCGAAAAAATGACGACATAGACACAATCTCATTAAGCGAATAAAAAATTAAGCCAAACAACAAGAAGAAGGCGAAAGATAAATGAAAAACCTATGAAAATGCTTTGATTGCTATGAAACGGCTCAAAGAGTTTGCCGTCAAAAGAAAAGAGAATTAACAAATATTTAGGCAGGCTAAGGTGTTTTTCTCTCAGTCCTTCGCATGTCTCATTTTCTCTCTCTCAGTTTTCTTTCGCGGCTGGTGTTCGCTACGTTTCATTCAATCGTGAAGCGCATATACTCATGGCAATATGGCTAAGCCACTTGCCGCAGTTGCTATCCGCTAGTCAATGTGCTATATGAATATTGAAAATATGATGTTCACCATTGTGTTATTTTTGATCCGTTTGACGCTTCAGAACCTTCGTAGGCGAGCGTAAAAATCTCGTAAAAATAAAATTGCAACAACAACAACAAAAAACTGCGATACACTCAACCTTTTTCTCACTCTAATTATAATATGTTTACGATTGGTATGAATAAAATAATTGGGTTTTCATATTTAAATGACAGCCATCTCGTCGTTACTGTGCCAATCCCAGCACATTCAGAAGGATTTAATCATCGCGAATGTTCATTTGTAATTTACAAATTTGCAATTTTTTTCCACAACTACCAACTGGAATTAATCAAGCCATGCCAATGAGTGAATGTTTATTGATTTTGATGTAGGTTGTTGTTTGCGGTATGATTGCATTGATTTCGGTGCAGTGCGGTCCGCTCTGGTCATGATGAAGTAGCCAGTTCAGGTTAAATAAAATCCACTTGCAGCCGTTCATTTTAGATGTTCGATATACGAAAAGCACTATTGGACATATAAAAAGACGAATAGCTGCCTCGGCTACATTAATTATAATCAGCACCATTGAAGTGCATCAGACCACTGCAATGAAATAAAAATATACACTTCATTCTTGCTTTGACCGGAGCCGCTCGTTGATTTTTGGCTGTGCGGCTTCACATGTTTGGCCAAACAATGGGTCCATTTAAAAGCAGCAACCGAATGCGCTAAATCACACTCACAACGCGTTGCGATGACACCAAAATCCATCCAGTAATTATAAGAATTTTCGGTCAATGCAAGCAGCGAATTTTTTCGGTTTTGAATCTTACGCAAAAAACGAAACAAATCAAATAACATTTATTCACTCGTTTGGTGAGTAAGCGAAGAACCAAAGGAAAACTCGCATTCAAACAATCAACAAGCCGCATCGAAGAGAAGAAGAAAAAAACACATGATTGAACAAAGAACAAGACGAAAAAAATTCACCAAAGATTTATGATTCGAATGATTTCATTTTTGTGCCAATTGCATACAAATACACGAAGGTCCGCCATCCTCTCATCGGTTGTGTGCCGAGGGGGAAATCATTCTTTTCAATTACTTTTCATTGAATAGTAATAGTTGGAGAAAAAGTAATTACCATAAAAAAAGTAATTGAAGTGGCATGACATTTTGGATGTAAATTTTGGTCAAAAATTACTTTTTTTTCTTCTTTCAATTACTTTTCAAATTACTTTTTCTCTAAGTATTACATTTCAGTGAAAACAGTGATTTCCCCCTCGATGTGTGTACCTTTTTTGTTGTTACTACTGTCACTGTTGTTCTCTGTTGTTCGAGTGTCTTCTTTCAAATGCAAATCTTAAAATTTATTATTTCCTAAACTAAATTCGATGGTGTACAAAATTTATATTTCACATCAATTTTTTACTGTCTAAACGCACCACCGCTGTCCAATCGATTCGCAAGTGTGAGTGTATTTTCGTGTGTTGGTGGCTGGTGAGTGTGCAACAAAGCATAGCATCGGCTGTTAGTTGATTCAAAACCGAATAAAATGGCCACAGAATGTGCCCTATAGAACATTGAATTGCATTTATCTGGTTCACTTGATTCAAAACGTCCGCTCGTACTCACACGTTTTCATAATATACAATACGCAAAGTGCAATCGAAAACAAAACCACACACACAAACACACAACAGTAATTGTCAAATATCAAAAAGCATTCATAGGCGAAGCTTTTCGACTTCATTTGAATTATATATATTTGATGTCAATAGATTTTATTGTGTGTGTTTCGTTTGGTATACCATTTGAATCGTTAAAGTTCAAATGAATTACCGAATTTGTCAATTAACACACAAAACGCACCGCTCCACCGAGAAATGTCGACCATTCACATCAAAGAAGAGAACACATTCAATCATTTTTCTTGTCTTCACACAAAACAAAATGCTGGACAATCTAACGGTATTTCATAATAATTATTGTTTTTTTTCTCTTGTGTATTGGCCAATGGCCATGATTTAAAATGTCATCGGAATCACGATGACAACGAAATATTTCGTTTGCATCAGTTTTCATAGGCTTTGCCAATGAACTTTTAATGTTTAACAAGTCAAACATTTTCGTAAAACACCATTGGTTATCCATTGTTTTTCACCGTCGTAAAACAAATAGACAAAACCCATGGATTCTTCAGCGACAAAGGAGAAAGAGAAGAAATATGAAATGCCGAACAATTGAGATAAAACGTGTTTAACAAAACAAAAATAAAAGGTGCTAAGAAATCCCAGTGTGATAGACAGGCATTTATTAAATTGAATAGCGACGAAAAAACCTTGAAAATAAATGAAACAATATTAATTAATTTTTTTTTTGCATAATATACATCTTCAATGAATATTCAATTAAATATGTTTTTTTATTTCTAATTTCATTTCTGAAATAGCAAAATTTGTATGGGAGGTACCTTTATTTCTTTATCGATTGACTTCAAACTTAGTAGGTTTTAATATTTTGTAAAATATGAAGCCAATCGGTAGAGAAATAAAGGTGCCTCCCATACAAATTTTGCTATTTCAGAGATGAAATTAGAAACTTTTGTATGGGAGGTACCCCAATTCTGAGTCAATTTCCATCAGATTGGCGCCAAATTTGGTTTGTTATCGGACTTACATGAAGAAATAAGTTTCCCGAAGTTTTATGACTTTTCGATCTTCGGAACATGATTATTGGATTGCAAGTAATTCTGATTTTTATTCATTTTTCACGTTCGCCAGCGCTTATGTACAGCTGTTTCTTATTTGTTGGTGGTCATACGATAGATCTGACTGTGGCCAAATTTATCTAAATTCAATGCTCTTTACGATAAAACTTTGAAACTGGCAAAAATCACTCTCAATTTGATGTATATTTAATCCGGTAGTTGGTGAAATCGACCAGTTTCAATGTTCATTCCTCATATGTATAGTTTATAAAATTCTAACCACTGCACTGATTCTAATGATCTATATATATATATATATATATAGAGCTATAGCGCGTTTGAAAGGTACTTCTCTCCACAATTCGGAGCCATTTTATTTTTGGTGCTAGCTAGTCTACAGACATAGTTCCAGCTTTAGATGTGTACAGAGAACGTCGATTTTCAGAAAAAACCTACATTAAACCAAAGTGCACTAAGTCGTGCCGTAACCTAGAGAAACGGAATATAGTTTTGAGATCAGGGGAAGGTCCTCTACAACGTAGTATGGTCCGTTTTGCTCGCGCAAAAACACCGTTCATTAGTGATAGTCGCTTTATATTTCTCTTTCGATTAATAAATACTTCCTGTTGATGTGCCGCTTAGCGGCACCAAACGACTCAATTATATTCCTTTGATACGTTGATATTGGGAGGGACATAATTCATCAGCTTGACATTTGACCCGAAATCGATTCATGGCAATAAGAGTGGAGCTATTTGCACAATTCCCTCTACAATTCACTCCTAACGAGTACAATTTAATTTGTATAATTATTGTGGATTTTGATTCGCAATTAGTTGCGTTCAAATGCGATTTAATATGATTGACGCGATTCAATAATGAAACTGCGTTGAAATAGTTGTACATAAATCAGTGTGGTGATCCGTGGATCCGCATGTACTGCTGCTGCTGCCAACGAAACGGTCAAGGAGCTGGATGAAAAAAAAAACACTAGAAGTGTGCTCAGTGCTCTCTATGCACGGTGTGTGTGCACGTAGGGTGTTTTCGGCATCGTTTAATCAAAAAATGGTATGCCTTATTCGATAGATCTCAGAATTCTGAGTCGATTGATAATATTTTTTGTCGCGGATGGACTTGTTATGACACTTCCCGAAGCTGAAAACAAAAACAGTTTTATTCTGAATTTCCATAGTAACCTGTGACAACCAGATTTGATTTGAAATTTGAAAGCAAAAATTTGACAAGAAAACATAAAATTGAATCTAGTTGTCACACGTTACTATAGAAATTCAGAATAAAACAAATTTTTTTTTTAGTTTCGGGAAGTGTCACCACAAGTCCATCCACGACAAAAATGTTATCAATCGACTCAGAATTCTGAGATGTATCGAATGAGACTTACCA